CCTCCTCCTCCTCCTCTCGGGGGTGGCACACCGGCGTGCGGCGCGCGGGCGTGTGCGGCAGGACGAGAGGGCAGCACGCGCGAGAGAGGCCGGGCCCCTGGAGCATATGCCCGCGCCAGCCCGGCCGTGAGGCAGCACGGCGGCTGCCGGACGGTGCGGTGGGCTCGTTTTCCACCGCCACCACCATGTAAGTAGGAGGGGGAGGGGGTCCTCCTCCTCCTCCTCCTCTTCCTCCTCCTCCTCCTCCTCCTCCTCCTCCTCCTCCTCCTCCCTCCTCCTCCTCATCCTCCTCCTCTTCCACCTCCTTCCCCCCTCCAACTTCTCATGGTGGTGGCGGAAAACAGGCTCATCAGGTGGGATCCGTCAGAACCAGATCGGGAAATCAGGTCGAAACTGAGCGTGCGACGGATCGGGCTGCATATGGCACGGAGTCGGATTCGAGTGGGTTCGGCTGCGTTTGGATGCGCAACTGCGCCGTACAAGCATCTGGCTGCGTGAATCGGATCGACTCTGGCAAACTCGACATGGGGTCGGATCCAGCGAAACCGAATGGGCTCTGAGCCGTCGCAGACGGGAGGACGCAAGAGCCAAGTCGAGGAGATCTCTCAGACGGCAATGGCAAATGGAATCGTTTTTTTCTTCCGCCACGGCAACTGCCCATCACCTATGACAATGGCATCGAAGGCCCGACGGGTGGGAGGATTAACCTGCACCGAGTAGCAACGGACAGTGTTACAGCGGGCTTTGCGACAGATGCAAAGTACAGCAGGCGTGCAATTCAGGATGGCAAAATGCAACGACTGTTCCACTTATGGGAGTTAGAACCCTAAATGCAAAACAGATTATGTACATCCAGCGTGATATGACTAAGCGTGTCATCTTGGGGGTGGGGGCGATTCTTGCTGTGGATTGCACTCCAGCTCCAAGTGAGCTCCACGCACACGCAACGTAGTGCTTCGCAACTGCCAACTGCATATTGTACAGAACGGCGATGAGCTCCACATGAGTTCCACAGCACACACACACAAACAAAAACAAAAAACATCGCAAAAGAAACGCTGCGCGCGCAAAACGAAGGCCAGGGTTTGGCGGCCATCTGTGAGCAGGGCGGACTGCTACTCTTGACCGTTGTGCCCGCGACTTCCACATCGGTATGCAACGACAAGCATTCACGCCTCGCTAGACTCTTCGCTGTCGCCCTCAACGCTTCCCTGTGTGGAAGACGTTCAGGACCATGAAATATGCCGCCTGGAAGACGGCCGCGTACGCCATCAATATGAGAGCGTTCCGGAGCGGGTCCACATCCTCCATTTCGAAGCTCTTCAAAACGGCCTCGCCGACGCGCGTCCCGTCGTCGAACTGGTTGTGCACAAACCATTCGAAAGAGTAAGTATGGAAGGCGAGGTGATAGCCCCAGACCCAGCCGTCCGGGATGTCCTGCGGCTTGACCATGAATCCTTCGCAGAGCATGAACATGCCGAAGAGGCCCGCCCCGAATGCCATGCCGATGATGTAGTGTGGCTGGGCGGCGCCGATCACGTGCATGAGGGACTCGGCCACGATCAGGGACAGCAGCAGGTTCGCGAAGAACTGGGCGAAGCCATTGAGATTTGCCAGCCACACGACGAGCATCGTGGAGATCAGAGCAATGAGCGTGACGCCAGGGAGTCCGGCGAGGAAGTCGGCGAGCACGTACGGCAGACAGGTGATCTGTCCGTTGGCTCGCTCCCGCCGGAAGACGTCCCGTATCTCGAGGAAGAACGGAAGGATTGCGACTGACATGAAGACGAGAAATGGCTGCACGTAGAACAGCAGAGCCAGGAGCGAGGTGGCTGCGGCTTCAGCGGCAACAGGCTCATCTCCACGGGCCACCTCACCCACGTCGTAGTACATGGTTCCGACCATGAACGCCAGCGCGATGTACATGGCCAAGCGCACACCGAATACGTACGGATTCTTCCAGTTCATGTGCAGCATCCGCAGCAACAGAACGGCAAACTGGCGGAACGGGCCTGCGCTCTCCCCTGGAGACCCCGCCATCCTGCGGGATCTCCTGCTGTCTTTAGGGCCTCCCGCATGGAGCCCGCCAGCTCGGACTCCACGAAGGCCCCGACAAGGCCCTCCAGCCTCGCCCCGTCGTCCTCTGCTCCGAAGTCGGTGCTGATGACGTCGAGGAAGAACTCCGCAGGGTTGGAATACCGCGGGCACTCGTGGCCCTGCGCGGCAAAGTGCTCGACGGCGACGTCGGTCGTGGGGCCGAAATGGACCTGTTGGCCCTTCGACAGCAGGCACAGCGAGTCGAAGAGACCCTATGCCCTGGAGCTCGCCTGGTGAATGCTCATGACAACGGTGTGGCCCTTCTGTGCGACATCGCGCAAATGCTCGATCACCTGCATGGCGGCCGTGGAGTCCAGGCCCGACGTCGGCTCGTCCAGCAAGAGTATGGGGGACCGATGCAACAGTTCGATGGCGATGCTCAGACGGCGCTTCTGGCCACCCGAGATGCCTTTGATCAGCGGGTCTCCGACGCGGGTATCGGCGCAAACCAGCAATCCCATCTGCACGATGACCTATTGGATTGCCTCCTCTCTGGCCTTCGAGGGGATCGCAGCGAGCCGCGAGGCGTAGCGCAGCGTCTCGCGCACGGTGTAGCAAGTCAGGAGCGAATCCTCCTGCGTAACGTAACTGACGATCTTGCGGATGTTAGCGGGGTGCTGCTTGCAGCCGATCAGAATCTCGCCCGAGGTGGTGCCGCTGCCCACACGACCGCCCAAGAGGTCAAGCAACGAGGTTTTGCCGCATCCCGAGGGTCCCATGATGGCCATCATTTGTCCTGGGTCGCAATGACCAGACACCTTGCTCACAATTGTCTTACTCCTACCACCCCGTAACGAAACTGTATGACTAAGCCCAGACCACGAGATCGGGCATCGTCGCTCCACATCCTTGATGCCAATCCCGGAACCTTTGCGACCCGGCATTGCTTCCGCCATTACTGACTGCCGTTACGATTGGGCCTATGGCACCAGCCACACGCGAAATCATCGAGCCGAGTAGTTGCGCCAAAACTTGTTCTCAGAAAAATAGCTTGAACTAAAATGGCTTGAGCCAAAATGGCTACGGACAGTGGCAAATGAAATCGTACATGCCTCCAGTTATTCGACGAAGCCCGATGCCTTCACGACCCCTGACAGCCAGAAGCCAAGACAATGTTGCACGTCGGAAACCACAGACCCATCCAGTCACATGAAAATGTAAACCCGTGGTAGGCGTGAAACCAAGTACGTAGATACTAGACGCGACGACGAGATAGCCACCACGCGGCCACTGGACAACTTATTATGCCTCCCTTCAGCGTGGCCACTCGTCTGCTCCTCTTGTACTCAGCGGCATAGGAAAAACGGACCCTGCAGACAAGTAGACGTCGAGGTCATTCGGGTGAACGCCGTTGGCCAAGTGCGCCGCAATTCCTGCACAAGGCATGCAGTGTGGTGGGAGGAGCACTCATGCAGGCCAGCTGTCTTCTTGCCCTCACGCCAACCTCCCTCTGACGGGCCCACTTTCCACCACCACTACCACATGTAAGAAAGGGAGGAGGAGGACGAAGAGGACGACATCCTCACCCTCCCGTCTCCCCCGTCCTACATATGGTAGCGTTGTTAGGTCGGGCATGTCCCCCTAGAGGCGCATTTTGGACGAAAAATGAAAAACTGTCAAACGATTGTCAAACATAGTCAAAACATAATCGAAACATAATCCCCAGATTATGTTTAAACTCTTTTTGAATATTCTCCTGTAGAGGGATGTGCCCGACTCAATAGCGGTGGTGGAAAACTAGCCCATCGCCCTCCCCACGGCGCGCTGGCAGAGCCGTCCAAAGGCGGCAGCACGACCGAAGAGACCGACCGAACACCGCTGGCGAAACCAAGACTGACCGAGACCGGCGAAGTCGCAGGCAACCTTCGGTCGGGCTCGTCCCCCGACAGGCGGATTTTGGAGATGGTTTAAACACATGTTCAAAGATCGTCGATCAAAACTCGAAAATATCTCCCCAGAGTATGTGTGGACCATTTTTGGATATTCCCCCTGTAGAGGGACACGCCCGACTCAAAATTGCGCAGGGACCGACCGTCCGGGCATTCCTATAGTCCTACCACGAAATGTTCTTAGAATTTATAAATGTTCAAAGAACAAAAACGCTGTTCTTAGAACATGAAACCGATGTGTTAAAACAAGACATACTCCGCCAGAAATGTTCTGAGAACATTTCGTGGGAACCGCAAAAAGGTCTTAGAACATTGTTTGGTAGGGCCATAGGCGAGCCGGGGTTCAATCTTGGGGATAAAGATGAGTTCGAGACCGGTGATAAACACGTGTTCAAGGATCTTCGATCAAAATTCAAACAGAAAATCCCCAGAGTATGTCTGGATCATGTTTGGATATTCCCCCTGCAGAGGGACACGCCCGACTCAAATCGGGGAGACGTAAGACCCGGGTACGGGGGACTCGGAAATCCCCGACGAGGTCGTCAAAAAAATGACGAGGCCGAGCCTGCATTTTGACGAGGCCTCCCGCTGCAGACATCCCGCGAGACTCCTCCTCGTCAAAATCCGAGGCGCGGTCGTCAAAAAACGATGGCGAACCCGAGTCCCGGCAAACCCGGGTCTTACGCTCCCCCGATCAAAGGCAGCCTCACAGAGGGCGCGGCAGCCGACAGACCTGCACCGGCCGAGCGCAGCGGACTGCGAACGGCCGCCGCGCGGGCACCCATGGCGGGCCTGGTTTTTTCCACCGCCACCAGCACGAGCAGGAGGGGGGGGGTCCTCCTCCTCTTCCTCCTCCTCCTCCTCCTCCTCCTCCTCCTCCTCCTCCTCCTCCTCTCCTCCTCCGCTCCTCCTGCTCCTCCTCCTCCTCCTCCTCCTCCTCCTCCTCCTCCTCTTCCTCCTCCTCCTCCTCCTCCTCCTCCTCCTCCTGCTCCTGCTCCTGCTCCTGCTCCTTCCCCCCTCTGACTGATGGTGGTGGTGGTGGAAAGCAAGCCAACATCAACCCTCGCTCACCCCCCACTCCCCCACCACAGCTGCCTGCGAGGCGCCATCGTCGCGTGAACATGCTTGCCCCTCCCCCGCCTTCTGCCCCGCACGCGCCGGCATGGATCGCGGACCCGTGGATCGGGCGCGCGGGCGCAAGATCGACAGAGCCCGAGGGTGCAGCCGAAACGTGACGCTGGTTCCGCCTGATCTGGCGACGGAGCGACCGGATTCTGTATGGAGGCGGGACTGGTGGCCAATCCGCGCGCCTGAGTCCATGACTGTGGCTCCTCGATCCTGGCGTTTGGGGGGAATTCTCCAGTCAGTGCATGCACTGAAGGGGTCCTAGCGGAAAAGGAAAGACTTGGCGACAAGGTCCAGCCGATGTTTATGGCCGGCTGGGTTCCCGGGTTCCCGGTTCCCTGGTTCCTGGTCATTGATTACCCATCGGTCGGAAGAAGTAGGTAGAAACATGAAGTAGGAAGGCGTTGGAAATAGATTGGGTTTCCGCACACCTCCTGAAGAGGAAGGAAAAGGGAAAACCACTCGACTCTTGAAGTAGGAAGGCGCTGAAAGTAGATTGGAATCTGGGAATCCAAAAATACCTACTTTCAACGACCGATGAGTACGGGCCGACTTCGGTGGATTCTCGGGTTGCTGAGCTCCCTGCCGCTCTCCTTACCGATCTCCTTATCGATCCCACGGTTCATCAGACCACCCACTGATTGGGGTGTTTCTCTGGTGAACGCCAAATTCCCTATGAATCGACCCCCCCGAAAAAACGGGACCCTCCTCCAAACGCGACCTAATATTCCGGATCCCCTCTTTGACGGGGCGCCTTAATATAAACTGGACCCCACAAGCTCCACTCCATAAGAAGCGCCCTAATAAATCGGAGCCCCCCCCAGTCACAAAAAGGCGCCTCAAAAAACCGGACCCAGGGGACGATTAATAAGGGACTTGGAGCAATCTTATTGGATGAAGCGGTACGCTGCACGCGACTCAGCATCACTGAAGCACCTTTTGTATCCTCAGGCCCAGCTTCGTGCGGCCAGGGGCCAGACCCTTCTCGAGTGCTCCTGAGGATGATGATGATGATGATGATGATGATGATGATGATGAGGAGGAGGAGGAGGAGGAGGAGGAGGAGGAGGAGGAGGAGGAGGATGGAAGAGGAGGGAAGAGCAGGGACGAGGGATGAGGAGAGGGGGGAAGGGTAGGGAGGAGAGGGAGGAGCAGGAACGACGGAATAGTAAGGAGGAGTAGGGAGGAGGGGGGAGTAGGGAGGAGTAGGGAGGAGTAGGGAAGAGAGGGAGTAGGGAGGAGCAGGGAGGAGTAGGGAGAAGTAGGGAGGAGCAGGGGAAAGGGGGGAGCAGGGAGGAGAGGGAGTAGGGAGGAGGGAGGAGCAGGGAAAAGTGGGGAGGAGAGGGAAAAGGAGCATGAAGGAGAGGAGGAGGTAGGAGTGGGGGCGAGGGATGAGGACCAGAGTAAGCCCAAGATACATCAACGAGGCTGCAGCGCTCCCCGCAGAGGAGAGTCCAAGACTGCAGGCAGGAGGGCATACTGCAGCATAGTTGACGCTGACCCTCCTCTTCCTCCTCCTCCTCCTCCTCCTCCTCCTCCTCCTCCTCCTCCTCCTCCTCCTCCCAGCCATCACCCCCGGGGCCTCCTCTCGTCCCAAGCGCTCCCCGCAGAGGACAGTCCAAGACCCCCTCTCTGCATCGACAAGCGCCCCCGTGAGAGGCCAGCACCCCGTGGGCCTTCTGCTCGGACATAAACTTGGTGCGTGGCGGGACGGCTCGGTTGGCGGAGGCCACCGCGTCCAGATCTCGGCACGCCTTGATGTGGGACAACATTCGCAGGATCTGCGCGGACGGGCTTCATCCTCTCTTAGAGCGTGTCCCTGCCCATCGGGAGCTCGAGGCTGTGATGGAGGCCCCAGGGTGCGATGTGGTTCGTTTTATAGGGAACGGGTGGGCTGACTTTAAGCTTTTTCGCCAAGATGAAGGGAGCTCCATCTTGCACGCCAGCACAAGTCCTGCCGGACTTCCACAAGCAGAGTTTGAGAGCAGCCGAAGACCACTCGAGTGTGTTCGCCTGGATGGTCCAGGCTGCACCCGAGAAGACGCTAGAGCGCCAACCGAGAGAGGGGACACCGTCGAACGCTTGTCGAATCGAGTCTTCCCCAATCTTGTGCCGGACTTGCACGATTTCAGATGTTGTGAACGGTTGGCCGAGCACCGCTGCTTGGATTGCAATCGACTCGCGAGGACTCGTGAATCGATGAAAGCTTGGCGTGCCAGGCCGTGAACCCCAAGCGAGTTGCAGAAAGCGACGGCGGCCCGATCTCTTTCTCTCACCCCAGAGTCCTATCAGCATGTGTCGGAGGCGGTGGATGCCGCGATACCTGCTGCTGCTGCTGCTGCCTTCGAGGAGGGCCATGACCCTTCTGCCGAAGGCCATGTCGGAGGTGGCGGAGGTCGCGTGGACGTCGCGGCCGTCGGGGTCGATCGGGAGGCGGACTTGCATAGCGAGCTCGGCCGCGGAGCCGAGAGGCCTGGAGCCACAGCCGGCTGCCTCAGCCGTGGCGCGCACCGTGCGGCTGGAGGGCCACGACCCGAAGCGTCGGGCCGCGTGCAGAGGCCCTGCGGAGGCGGCGCCCACGCGCGCCGACGAGGAGCTGCAGGCCTCCCGCGCCACGCGCGGGCTCCGTCCGCGGACCGGGACCTCCTGCCCATGACCCCCCTCGGCGCGAGGTCTCCGCCGTCGGCCTCCTGACGAGGTGGGGGCACGGCTGTTGAGGGAACGCTGCGCGTTGCGGTGGTTCCTGGCCCCGCAGTGCAGCCCCCTGTTCACTGCTGAGGCGGGTCCGCGCGCTCGGACTCGCTCTTCATGGCTGGCTGCCTCCTCCTCCTCCTCCTCCTCCTCCTCCTCCTCCTCCTCCTCCTCCTCCTCCTCCTCCTCCT